TATCATTTCAAGAAACACCTAAGTTTAAAGGTCCCTAAAAGAGTAGGTTCGGGTCTACTAACCAGAACAGGGTTTAGAAGTTCGGTTACGTGTGAGAAAGGTTATAGCACCTTCATAATGCCCATCAAAAGACGGTACTAGCTTAATTTTATGTTATCCAATAAGCCTTAAAAATTTATTAAGTAATTAATTATTAGAAATTATTCTCGATTGACTCTAATACTTTTAGCAAAAAATTGAAAAAATTTCCTCACCTCAAGAGTATGTAAGAAAACTACTGTTTCACTTGCAGAGGCTCCATCGTTGGATTATTTAACATTAAAAAAATTTAAGGAAATAAAAAAGAAAAAGAAAATGATTGCTTTTGTGTAAGAAAAATTGATACTTTCAACTTTTTCTCAAAAATCCATTTTTGAAAACTTATTTTTAAGAAAAATTGAAACTTTCAACTTTTTTCTAAAAATATTTTTTTTGAAAATTTATTTGTAAGGAAAATTGATACTAAAATTGATACTTTCAACTTTTTCCTAAAAATATTTTTTTAGAAAGTTTATTTTCAAGAAAAATTGATACTTTCAACTTTTCCTCAAAAATATTTTTTAGAAAGTTTATTTTAAAAAAAAATTGATACTTTCAATTTTTTCTTAAAAATATTTTTTTAGAAAGAACTTTAAGCAAACAAGATCCACTCAATCATTGCTAAACACTAGTATTGAAATCTTGGCACTGGTAATGCACTGCACTAATAAGTGAAAAAAAAAAAGTCACGAACTGATTCCTGTAATTTCAGATTCCTAAGATGTGTCAGCCCCGTTGAAAAGTCTCCATCCCATGCATTCGATAGGAGAAAAACAAAAAGACAAAGAAGCAGATTCAAGAACCAAGAAGGCAATTCAAACAAAAAGAAAAGGCAACGTAATCCCAAAAACCAACATCACTAGCAATAGCGTCCAGCATGATAACCGTCCACGCAACGTCGCGGCCCCTGTTGTAACTAATGCAAACTAAATAAATTGGTCCCTTCATAAAAAAAACTACCTAGTGTTTCCCTGCCCTCACTAATTTGAAACGATCTCTCTCATTCTCCACGAAAGAAATAATGGCTTGAAGTGTTGCTGCAAAACTAGCTCGCTTGTGTTTATCACTATATCTAAAATATATTGGTTTGCCAGAATTACTCAAAATAAAGAAGTGCTTCTTTTGCTTCCTGTTCTTAATTATTGATTGAAGCTTTCGACCTTTTGCACATGGGTTCTAGCTTTGCCCAGCATTGTAGGACTGTGTGAGGCTGTGTTGGGTATTGATTGGTTGTTTTCTGCTGTGTTGTGACAGAAGTGGTGGTATGGGATTGCGCTGGCCTTTAGGGATTATCGATTTCAGTCGAGGCAGTGAACTATGGTCTTGAATTTTAGAGTTGGAGGTACTGGTGGTAAAAAGGGTTAAACCATTGTCGTCGAAGTAACAACAAGAGACGAAGTATTCAGTCTTGGATAAGATGCAGTAGAGAACAGCACTGTAAAGAAGTGCACACGAGCAACTTCGATTCATTTTCTATAGGATAGACAAAGATTGATTTCAAGTATACCACGATCAGAAAGATAGGCCAGCCGAAAACAGAACAAATGCTACTGCTGCTTCTGAGTTCGCATGACTTCGCTCTCATTGCGTGTGGACTTCCTAATCGAACTAAGATGGATAGGGCGGTTGGCTCAGAGAAGGTTTGCTCGGGGAAGGAATAACAACAATTTAAGGCTGAAGAATAAAAGAATTTTTTTCTATGGGCTAAACTCCCTTTACCACTCCTCTTTCTTGGCCGTCCGCTTTGCTATGCATCTATTCTGCCTTCGTGCGTGTGTCACGGGTCGAGACTTAAGCTTCAAACCCGCGCGGCTCCGGGACCCGGACATTCACCCTTCCGACGTCCCAGATCAGTCTTCCTGCCACGATTCACACCCTTGTGAGGTATTGTCCGCTTTGGCCCCCCTGGCTTCACGGTTTTGTCCTACAAAAGGCGCCTCACAAGGCGGAGATGGTGTGAACCCTTTTATACCTCAGTGACCCTCCTATTATGTTCGATGTGGGATTCAGGACTCCCCCTTAGGTTCGTGACATTCTCCCGCACCCAACCTCGTGACGCCCTCGTCACGGAGGTCAGCTACCCTGCCTACCTCCCTTGAGGTGCTTAGCGTGGATCGAACGGTTTAGGGCTGGCTCTGATACCACTTGTCACGGGTCGAGACTTAAGCTCCGAACCCGCGCGGCTCCGGGACCCGGGCATTCACCCTTCCGGCGTCCCAGATCAGTCTTCCTGCCACGGTTCACACCTTTGTGAGGTATTGTCCGCTTTGGCCCCCCTGGCCTCACGGTTTTGTCCTACAAAAGGCGCCTCACAAAGCGGAGATGGTGTGAACCCTTTTATACCCCAGGGACCTCCTATTATGTTCGATGTGGGATTCAGGACTCCCCCTTAGGTCCGTGACACGTGCACCAGAGCAGCTTCTGTCGACTAGTTTTTTTCTCTTCTCCTTTCAAACTATGAATCACAATTATTTATAAAACCATGCTGATAGAGTTTTAGTTCAATTGCAATTAGTCATCCAATGCTAAAAATTAGCATCTAATTATGCTTTCTGATCATCATCAAGCCTAATCTCAATCTTTTTTTTTTAAATAATCAGATAATGAAGATAGAAAAAAAAAACAATAAGTAGACCATAAGATAAAAATTAAAAAATGATAAATATGAAATAAAAATCTGAAACAAAAATGAATAAAAATTTTTACAATCGAGCTTGGATTGGTTTTAATTGATAAAGAACCCCGAACAAAATGGGGTGTCTACAACCTATAAAGCTAACAGTCTCTCACTTACTCCATTTTGTTATGGAGTGTATGGAGCAGTTAATTGATGTTGGATGCTTGCCTCCTCACAAAAACTATTGAATGCTTCAGAGATGTACTCCTTACCATTGTTTGATCTAAGAGTTTGAATTATACAGCCACTCTCATTCTCAACTCTGGCTTTAAAGTTCCAAAAGACTTGAGTCACTTCTAACTTGTGCTTCAAAAAGAAAATCCAACATATACGAGTGAAACCATCAATGAATACAACATAATAAAGACTACTTTTCAGAGAAGGCATTCTTTGTGGGCCTGCAATGTCAGTATGAATTAATTGTAACTTCTTTGATGTTTTCCATGTTGTCTTGGGAAATAGTTTCGTACTTTGCTTTCCAAACTGAAATGCTTTACAGTTTGGAATATGATCATCAAGTTCTGAAAAATCATTTGCCATCTTTTTGGATTTCATCTGTAGCAGCCCTTAATGATGATAATGCTCGAGACTCTTGTGCCATACTTCAGTGATATTTTCTTTGATTGCAAAAGCAGTTTACTTCTCATCCAATAGATTTAGAGTAAAGCTTTTCCATTTCATTTTTACTTTGAAAATATCTTGGCCAACTACATCTTTAATCAAGCAACTTTTGTCTTCAAACACAACTTTATAACACTTTTCAATTAGTTGTCCAACACTTAACAAGTTTTGATCAATTTTAGGGACATACAACACATCAAAAATGAACTTTGTACCTAAATAGGTTGAAATTGCAACTATTCTTTTTTCTTTCACAGTTATGTACTTTCCATTACCAATTCGAATCTTTAATGAGTTTACGTTGCTTAGTTCCCTAAATAGATCTTTGTCATGTGTCATGTGGTTAGTATAACCACTGTCTATAAACCAATTCTCACTTGATTTGACATCAGAGAAATATGTAACAATGAACAAGTGATCATCCTCCTCTTGATCAGCAATCTTTGCATCTTCACCATGTCTATTTGATTACATTTAGTGCACTTAGCATCAGGTTTTTTTCAGCATCTAAATGGAAAATGACCTTTCTTTCCGTAATGTTGGCAAGGTGGATAGGATTTCTTCTAATTTTTATTCTTTTCTTTTACATTGGCTGATGTTGTACTTGCCCCATTTCTTTCAAAATCCTTCTTTTTCTTTTGGCTGCCAAAGCTCCTTCAGTTGTTGTGTCCTCTCTCATCAGTCTTCTTAGTTCTTATGCTTGCAAAGTGTTAAGCAATTCTACTAAGAAAATTTTTAACAAATCCTTGGTATTCTCCAAGGTAGTGATGGTTGCTTCATATCTTTCAGGTACTGTAACAAGAATTTTTTTTACAATTTTTTAGTCAGTAAATTCAGATCCAATAAGCCTCATTTTGTTTGCTATACTAAAAAGTCTGTTGGAGTAATCTTTAATCATCTCAAAATTTTTCATTCTTTGAAGTTCAAATTCTTTAATCAAGTTTAGGACTTGCATCCCTTTAATTCTTTTATCTCTTTCATATTCGTTCTTGAGATAATCTCATATCTCTTTTGCTGACTTTAGGGACATGATACGAGTGAAGATGGTGGATGAGACTGCAGCAAACAAGCAGAACTTTGCCTTTGATTTCTTTGTCTTCTTTTCTTTTTACGCTTTTATCCGTGCCATGGTGAGATTGTTCGGAAGTGAAGGAATTTATAGTTTTCTACCACTGCTTCCCAAATATTCAAAGCTTCCAAGTATGTCTCTATAAGTATGGTCCAAATCTGATAGTTATCTCCGTTGAACATCGTCAAAGCAATTGCAGAAAGACTAGCTTTAACTTTCATGACGCGTCAAATTCACACATAATTCTCTTAAGAAAAGAGTCTTGATACCAATTATTGTTATTTTTTAAATAAAAAAAAAACTTTCACTCTTATTTAACATCAAAAATATTATAATTTAAAGCTTAATTAATAACAATTCATTAAAATTATGATTCTAAAATTATATCATGATTACAAATATGAATAACAAAAATATAACCAATACTAAAAAGATAAAAATAAGCAACATTTATAAATCCAAGTCAACCAGTCCTAAAGACATCTTTTAACGTATAGGATTCAATGGGACTCACATTTCGCATTTGGGTGATGGGTCCCACAAAGCGTACAAACCGTCCCACCCAACTTTTCTGGAAACGAAACTGAAAAGATAACATAACATCACCATCATCGAGAAGCTGAAACAACGGTCTAAGCAAGTTAAAAACTTAAAATTTCAGACAGTGCAGATTTGCAGATTGTCTTCCCTTTTCTTTTTTTTTTTTCTGATAATTTGAACTTGTAGGAAAAACCCAATGTCCAAACAAACTTACAGGGTTTGTTTCTGCTTCAGGAGGAGGTTTAGGCTGGCAGTTTCAGAGGCACCAGAGGAGATCAAGAAGGTGTTTGAACAATACTCTGAGAATGGGATCATGAGCGTTGATGAACTACAGAGGTTCTTTATTGAGGTCCAAAAAGAAAATAAGGCTACCAGAGAAGATTCTCAGAAGATTATTGATAGTGTTAAGCATTTTCATAGGAAGGGTTTAAATCTTGAAGCTTTTTTTAAGTACCTTTTTGGTGATATTAATTCTCCTCTTGCTTCTCTTGGGGTAATAAATTCTCTCTCTCTTAGGATTGGCTTTCTCCTTTTTAGGTTCCTTTATTGGGATTGAATGGATTAGTTCCAAATTAGATGATTTATGTTTTTGTTTGGTTGCTGGGGAAATTTGAGAGAAAAGCGGAATTTTTTAATATATCTTTGAGTTTGATTCCATATTTGCATTTTCATAAAAAATGGCTGCTTTTCTTCTTTCCCTTCTCTTTTTAGTAGGAGAATTTGGTACCTTGGATTGTATGGGATTTAAATGAAACTAACTACTTATTTTCAGCACAGAAAGTAATGTGTACTGACTGGATTGTTTTGTTGCTTTCATAGCTTTGAGGATGGTACTTTGATGATGTTGATTCGTGTGAAAATGCTTTCTAAGGAGCATGAGATGTTCGCCTATTTGATTTCTAGCTAAAATATGCCATTACATTTACAGGCTTTTATTTTGCTTTTGTTGTTCACTCATGTGCTATTCTAGTTTCATATCTGAGCTTTTGTAGCTTGATTGCCAAAGCAGATTATACCATTTTCTACACTTTGTGCTACTGTTTTTTATGTCATGTTCTTTGGTTTCAGGTGCACCATGATATGAGTGCTCCTTTGTCTCATTATTTCATGTATACTGGTCACAATTCCTATCTTACTTGGAATCAACTAAGTAGTGACTGCAGCGATGTTCCAATCATAAGTGCACTTAAGAGAGGTGTGAGAGTGATAGAATTGGATATATGGCCAAATTCAACAAAAGATAATGTGGATGTTCTTCATGGAAGGTATGTTCTTGAAATGCAAATTGTTCCCATTCTAAGTCTTTAACATTAATGGAACTTTCATTTTGCTAAATGATTTACTAAAAATGTCATACTTTTGTTACAACAATCTGCTTGTTCAGTTCTGCTGGTATCTTGAACATATATACATGTCCTTGCCACCAAAAGGAAAAAATGAAAGGAGAAAAAATATTGCATTGTAACATGACATGGCTTTATTAATTTATTTTTCCAGCTCCTTAGCTCGAAAAAGATGGTTGCTTGTTTATGTAACGGGCTTCTTGTGCAAAAGCATGTAGTTGCCTTTGTTTGAGGAAAAAGCTGAAGAAAAAACATGACTCTGCATTAAAGCTATAACTTTGAGTATTTGTTACCTGCTTGAGATACAACTGATTCCATTACTACGAACCTCACCCTACAGTAGCTGATCTCTTTAAGTTTTAAAATAAAAGTCTGTCCCTAGACAGTCATTCTGCTTCTGAGAGAATAATGAATAATTTCTTCATGTAGGACTCTGACTACTCCTGTGGAACTCATCAAATGTTTGAGGTCTATTAAGGAGTATGCTTTTGTTGCCTCAGAATACCCAGTTGTTATAACTCTAGAAGACCATCTTATCCCAGATCTTCAGGCTAAAGTTGCTGAGGTGAGTATTGGTGCTTTTGATCGGAATTGAAACATCTGATATTGCCATAATTTACGCTTCTGTGGCTAATTTATAGATGGTCACTCAAACATTTGGAGACATCCTGTTTTCTCCTGTTTCAGAATGCTTAAAAGAATTCCCTTCTCCAGAATCATTGAAGAAACGCATAATCTATATCTACCAAGCCACCAAAGGAATACCTTGAGGCTAAAGAAGTTAAGGATAAAGAGAATGACTCGGAGAGGGGTAAGGCCACTGATGAAGAAGCTTGGGGAAAAGAGGTTCCAGACCTTAAAGGCAGTCATGTAGCCGATTACAAGGTGTCTGGTGATGCTGAGTGTGATTAACTACAAATTGATTTTACTAGCTGTTTCTGTAAAATCTACATTTCACTTATTGTTAACTCCCTTATGACAGAATAACTTGGATGAAGAAGATGAGGCAGATCTTAATGATGGAGATAAGCCACAGCAAACACTATCACCAGAATATAAACATTTAATTGCTATTCAGGCTGGGAAACCAAAGGGTGGATTAGATGTGTGTCTAAGGGTGGATCCTGATAAAGTGAGACGTCTTAGCACGAGTGAGCAACAACTTGCAAAGGCTGCAGAAACTCATGGAAAACAAATCGTCAGGTATTTAGTAAAAGATTTGGTAAATTTCATTTAAGTGAGATCATCTTTAGTTACCAGATACAGCTGCTAGTTTCTTTTTCTCTTTTGTCAGCATTTGCCTTATTTGGTGATATTTGTACGACAAGTACATATCTGTCTTGGCTTCTTGAGCTTGCGCTTTCTCATTGCTTAGATGAATCCACTTTAAGATGATGTAAAAAGTAGTGCACCATACATGTTATGAGTGATCTGGCTGGTGTGAACGTTTTACATTTAGTTGAGGGACTATCAGCGGTTGGCTGATTTGATAGAAGTAGTCGTTTAGTATTTCTGTATCATGATGTAAGTGATCATGCTTATTCAAAAGTTTTTATTATTGTTCAATCCTATGTTTCATGTGTCATTAATCTGCTAGTATTGACATTGTGTTTCGCTACAATAATATGCTTACCTGAAATGTACATTATGGGACATGCATTTGATTGTATATTCTGATTATTAAATTGCAAAATTACTGCTACAGATTTACGCAGCGAAATATTCTTAGGGTGTATCCCAAGGGTATGCGCGTTGACTCTTCCAATTACAACCCATTTATTGGATGGATGCATGGAGCTCAAATGGTAGCATTTAATATGCAGGTTTACAACCCCCCTCCTCTGTCTCTTTATTCCTTCTTTGTTTTTTTCCCTCCCTTTAGCTATATTTTCTCAAAATTCAGTTCTATACTAGATATTGATTTCTTTTTATTATTTATTTTTCTGACATTTGTATGAAATAGTAAGTAATAAAGGTAGAAGTCTCAAAGATATAGAGATGAAAGTTTCAAAAAGTATCCTAACCTATAATTTCACAGAGAGAGGGCTCTTCGTGCATTGCATATTCATTTGTGATCCTCGTGGCAAATAAGCAGGAATGGCACCTATAATTTCAACTAAACCATGCATCCTACTTAGTTTTATTATAAACCTGAATGCCAGACTGGTAGTCAATTGACAAAATGGCAACTTGGGCTTGTCCTTTTGGTAATCAAAACTATTGATTCAAATTTTGTTCTGTGGATACTGAGAATTTAATTGAATAGCATTCCTTTTCCTAGACTGATTGTAGGCTTCATGTTTGATCCAACATTAAGATAGGAAATCTGCTTCAGGGCCTAGGCCTTGTCTTTGTTCCTTCATAATGTAAAAGATGATAGCCTAATGGATTGGATGACTGCTTTCTTTAGTTGATTTTTGCTAAGATTCTTATATTTTCTTGTTGGTGTATGATATGGTCATGGAAGATCTTTATGGTTGATGCATGGAATGTTCAAAGCCAATGGGGCATGTGGTTATGTGAAAAAACCAGATTTCCTATTGAACTCTAATGAAGTCTTTGATCCCACACTCAAGTTACTAGTGAAAGCAACTTTGAAAGTGAGTGTTTGATTGCCATGGGATTTGATTTTTTTTTTTTTCTTATCATTTTCCTGCAGTGCTGATTTGATACTCTTTTTCCCATTTTTTTTAGTATCTCAACTAATAATTATGATTTATTGTTCTTCTTTTGGAAAGGTAACTGCGTATATGGGGGAAGGATGGTATCATGATTTTCATCACACACATTTCGATGCGAATTCACCTCCAGACTTTTATGCAAGGATAAGTTGAAATGCGGTGATATCATTTCAATGCAAACTAGATTAATGCCTGAAATTTGATTACTGTGTTTCCAGGTTGGGATTGCTGGTGTGCCAGCAGATTCCATGATGAAGAAAACAAAGAGTTTAGAAGACAAATGGGTGCCTTCTTGGAACGATGAGTTTGAGTTCCCTCTAACTGTCCCTGAACTGGCTCCAGTTGGAATCAAAGTGCACAAATACGACATGTCTGAGAAGGATGACTTCGGAGGCCAAACATGCCTACCACTTTCAGAACTAAGAAGTGGGATTCGATCGGTTCCCCTCAACAGCCGCGAGGGTGACAAGTACAATTCTGTAAAGCTCCTTATGCGCTTTGAATTCGTTGCTCCATAGTCCCCGAAGGCGAGTTCCAGTTCCATATCCACATTCAAATTGTTCGATGGTATTTTGTGAGCTCGTGTGAAGTTATCTTATCACATGTTTGCTGTCTTATATGTACCATAAAATAACAACTGCTCTGCAGTTTTTCGTGTTTCTGCTACCAATGCTGCGTGTAATTAGCCATATTTGTAAACAAAGAATCTTACATTAGTGACGTAATTAGCAAGCCTGATATATATAATTATCTGCTATTATTACTTGTATTCATTTTTGGTACAGCCTTTTACGAGTTGAGCATATATTCAAGCTCATTAATGTAATAAAAAGTTTGCCTATAAACATCGATAAAGTCTGTCCTGGCAGCTATAACAATTGTCTCAAATTGTTGCTGGAGTGAAGCTACATTATCTTTACTGCTAGCTGATGTAGAAATGCATTTGTAATATTCACTAATTATACTAGGATGGCTATTCACTATTGGGCTTAAACTCATGTTCGGCTCTGGCCTCTGGGAGCCTTTCCAGGAAATTGGATGGTTTCTCTTCCCTGGCTGTTGAAGCTGGATTAGATCTAATAATTTGTTTAAGATGCAATTTTAAATGGGAAACGAATAATCTTAGACATAAATAAATATAAATAATTTTAAATCGAAAACAATATATTTATTATACATATTATACGAGACACAACATGAATAATCCGTTTAAAATTAATTTGTGTAATACAATCTAAGTAATACGACATAATATGATTTGATTAATACGATTAAATATAAATAATACAATTAATTTATTTATTAAACAAAAAATCACTTAAATTAGTATTTAAACAAAAAATTATTTAAAAGTTAAATATTTATAATTTATTTGAACACTAAAATAATACAATAAATACGATTATTAATTTATTTAAAAAATAAATTAAAATATTTTTTATAGTTTATATATTATATATGCTTATATGAATAATATTGTATTTTAAATATGTCATCACTGTTTGACACGAATAATGTTATGTCTTAATTATATTGATACGATTAAAATATGAAATACGATTATAATAAATTCATATATAATTTTTTCATATTATTTAATAAACTTTACAATAGACATACTTATGATTCAAATTGACTTGAGTTGGATATTAGGCGGAGATCTTCAAGTTCAAATATTTTTTATTTTATTTTTATTTTAAAATATAAATACAAAAAGAATATTTTAAATAATAATGAGTTTAAATGGACAAATAGGATTTGAACGAAATTCTTTGAAAGCATCAATCGGGCTTGACCTCATGCATAAACTTTAAACTTGCAAATACAAATGTGATTTTGGCTGCCATCACCTTATATTTGACTTGGTCTCTCCTGCGTTGCCCTTTTCACCTTTTCTTGCCCCAATTACAAGGGTCGAACACAATGTCCAATTTCAGACAATTGTGTCAATTTATTCAATAAATTCGATTCTCTTTAGATTTTGCAGATATTACAATCTCTAAGATTCTGTATTGCTTATAATTTTGAATGTTTTAAATTTGTCACCTTTTGCACTAATATAGAAAAACTGACCCCCAGAATTCATCACCAATAAATATATAACTTATGGCAAAAAAAAAATTATTGAGTGATGGCTGATGAACCAAATTCTTGGCACCAACTCCATGTCCATGGAAAAAAAAAAAGCTTTATTTTTTTGCTTTAGCTTTTTCTAGTGATTTGGTCTTTCAATTTCAGTCCATTAAAAATATATAAAAAAATCAGAGTAAATTTGGTTTTAGAGGTTGGTGATGATCAAGCCAAATCTTATCACAATCAATATGAAGCATCTGAAAATTTTCAGTATCTTGAAAAACAAAAAACCCTTATCTAATCCAAAAATTTGTTACCAAAATCCATTGTTTTTTAATGGGATTTTGTACAATGAATCACAGAGGAATTATTTAAGTCAATGTGCAGATATATGATATTGTTTTCACCCTTGTCCCCATGCCCACTTTTCTGGAATTTGCAAACACTTTTCACACTATTTTTCTATCATTTTTTTAAAAATTATTTTATAAATTAATTAAATTAAATCTTGGATTTATCATTGCCCAATTTTAACTAAGAAAATGAATAAATATGGCCAAAAGGAAGAGGTGAGTCACCGGCCAATTGGCTACACCTACCTTCCTTTGGTCCTTGACTCACCTTCTCCGAGTCCACAAACATTTAATTTCATTAAATTTGGACTTTAATTCTTAGGTATTAACTTTGGCATGCAAAAAACTGCTTACAAATTAATTAGGAGGCACCGTTTCAATTCAATAATTCTATGAAACAAATGGCAAAATAGAGAATCACCAATTCCTTGACAATTTAATGAAACAAGTACAGTAACTGCCAACATATTAAAAATGAAAAACTCATAAGCTTGACCGTACACGTGTTTAATGATAAGGATAATCAGAAGGCCTAAATGCATTGACCAAGCCCAAATTGTTTTTCTTATTCAAAGTCGATTTCCTTCATCTAACCGTGCCAACTACGTGCGAATTTTTAAAAGGGAAATGTGTCGAAAGCATGGACCCAGTTTTTCATTGAGTTCATTGTGTTTGTTGGATCATTTCAGTGAATGGTTTTGACGAAATCTTCATACCCTTTTTTGGGCTCTGAAATTCTAGAATGAAACACCCCGGAGACGTGATGAAATGTGCATGTAAGTTTCAAAGCAAATGGCAGGGGCTAAGTTCCTGTCCACGTGTTTTGACAGGTTGGCCCCCAAGTCAATAGTTCTGTTTTTCATTTTGCCTCTTAGTGTGAAATGAAACGCTAATGGTCAAATTTGAACCCAACCCCAAAACTAATAGAAGAAAAGAAGATTAAATACGCTGAGAGAGGTAAAGTAATCGAGAAATTGTCAGTAAAACAATATGGTAAAGGGCAACAAGAATAAATCAGGTAATCGTTTCTCCTTGCTGCCAGTGTTCACAATATCCTACACTACAGCTCAATGTTACATGAAGGGAAAAAAAAAATCCTAAAAATGAAAAATCTTTACACTCCAAAATGGTATACCTGGATAAATCATTGATAGAAAAAAATTCATGAGAAAAGAGAAAAATACTTTTTTTTTTGGAGAGCTGAAATTTTCACTCTGAAACAATTGAGAATGCACCACTAGAGATGCTGCCATGGCTGCCATCACAAACAGTCACTGCCCTTTCCAAGTTGGAAACAATGTCACCAATTATAGGCCTCTCTCTCCCTTCCAAATTCACACAATGCATTGCAGTATATGCCATTAGCTCCACTGCTTCAGCTTCGTTCAGCTCTGGTGGTCCAACCCTTGTATCCAAAACCTTAACCAATTCACCAGCCATAATTGCAGGCACTGCAAAATCCACCAGGCTCACTGGGGTCCCTCCATTTTCATCATTCTTGAATATAGCCCTCTTCCCTGTCAGAAGTTCTAGCATTACAACTCCAAAACCATAGACATCACTCTTTGTTGTTAAGACATTTAAGCCATAGTACTCAGGATCAATGTAACCAACTGTTCCAGCTGCCTTCATTGGCCTGTGATCTCGATCAGATTCTGGACCCATCAGAGAAAGTCCAAAATCTGAAACTCTTGCTGTCCAATTCACATCAAGTAATATGTTAGAAGACTTTATATCCCTATGAATTATAGGTGGAACTGCATAAGTGTGAAGATACTGAATCCCTCGTGCCGCATCCAAAGCAATTTTGATCCTCATTTTCCAGGAATTAAGCAGACTACTACTTTTCTCAACATTGTTCTTATCATGTAAATGATCATATAGTGCACCATTCTTCATGTATTCATAAACCAAAAGCCTTTCATCCATCTCTTCACAATACCCAACAAGCGTAACCAAATGCTTATGATGAAGCCTGGACAAGAATGCCAATTCTGATTCAAATGCAGTCTCCTTGTCTTGGAACTTCTTGGTTTTTTGACCTGTTTCGCCTCTTTTAATCGCCACCTCACGGCCATCCAATAACTTTCCCCTGTAAACAACACCAAAGCTCCCAGCACCAATCTTGTTTTCAAATGAAAAATCATTGGTAGCAGCAGCAAGCTCAGCCAAGCTAAATTCCTCAGCTCTGTCAGCATGTTTTGAAGATGTTCCACTTCTTTGACGCCTCATTGCTCTTGAACTCTGGCGTCTAATCGTCAATGACCTTGAAGGAGGACTATTATTTGATCCAGGATCGCCATTAGAGCCAGCTCTAGTAATAGTTGGCTGAACTGAATTATGTACTTTCTTTTTACCAAAACAAACCCCAGTCCACAAACAATAAACAATACTACAAATCCCCATAAAACATCCAACTGATCCAACTATTGCAAAAGCCAGTAACCCTCTCGTCAACTCCCTAGACGGCGAAGACCGCCTCGAAACCTCCGGTGGTGGAGGTGACGGTAACGGAGGAGACAGCGGTGGTGCTGCGTAACAGGGTGATGGTTTACAAATGTTTCCAGAACCAAAACAAAGCCTGCCCGATAGAGGATATAATAATTCACACCCATTACAAGAAGATTGAATACAAGGCCCTGGTAGAATCTCAACTCCCAAAGGTAACTCATTTACTGAAGAATTTGAATTTAACCTATTGCTTCCAGCCCACCCTGGACCCCAACAAACTATAGATAAATTCTTGGTTGTTAATCCACAAGTAAAATTTAAGCCTGAAACTATGGATTCGAACCCAATTCCTTCAACTGCTGTCTCGGTCATGGAACCCCAACAAACAACTGTCCCATTCGATCTCCTAATCCCACAACTAAAACCTTCACCAAGAGCCAACCCTGAAGTAAAGTTCAAACCTTTGTTTGAAGGAACATTGAGTTGACCCCTTAAGTTATCTCCTTTACAAACTAAATCCCCAACTAAGTTAACTCCACAAACATGGGAATATCCAGCTTCAATATTTAACATTGACATGTTTTCAAATTGCCTTTCTATTTCATTCGCCAGAGGGTCACTTCCCCAACAAGTGACTCGGTTGCTTCGACTCAATACAATCCCACATGAAAACCCAAACCCGGATGTGATTTTACCCATTGTGTAATCACCGTTGGGTAACTCTTCACTATTATTTCTATTATTTCCGTCGGCTCTCCAACAGACAACGGACGTCGTCGTATTCTTCGACGATGCGCATATCCTTCCGTCGCCGATGGAAAGGTATTCTAACAAAACGGTGTCGTTAAAATAGAGGCGTTTAACGGGAAAAGATGGGGTGTTTGTATCCCAACAGAGGAGGCTGTAACCGCCGGAACGAAGGGCGCAAACGCTGGTATTACCACCGGCAACGGTGAAGTAGGAAACGTTAGGGAGGATGGAGACGACGGCGGACGAGTAATTGTTGTCGCCGGCGCGGTAACAGATAATGCGTTGAGTCGGCTCGGAAGCTACGATGGCGCATACGGTGGCGGTGCCATAAGCGACGGTGAGCGTTGAGCCGGAACCCAAGGCATAAATTAACGGCAGGAAGGAAATAACGGTAAAGAAACAAACGGCGAAAAGGAGAGGGAAGGATAGTTTCGTCATTTAAAATAGTCGAGCTCGACGGCGGAAGAGTTGGCGTTTCCGTCCGTCAGCTTCATTTGGCAAGAGAAACAGAAAAGAAAAGAAATGAAAGACTTTTGAAAGAATCAAGCTTTAGTAAGAGAAACGACAGAAATTTGAGAGTTTCAGTTTTAACAGCGTTTTAAGAAGAAAGATCAAAAGGCTGTGTTTGGGACCAAAGAAAATGAATCCATGAAATGTAACCGCCATTTTTTTACTTGCCATATTTTTTAAGATTCTATTTAGTTTTTTTTTTTCCTATAATAATAATTCAAGATTTTTTTTTTTAGGTCCAAATGGAAGATAGTAAGGTTCTTGACTAAAGTATGAGACAGTTGAAATCTAAAACTTATTTTCAGATTTGGATTCTAAATTTTTTTAAATGAAAAATTTATTATACAAATATTTAATTATGATTTTTATGAATTTAAATCATAGATTTTTTAAATATATCTTGTGATGAGTTTTGATCCGCATCTCAGATTCATGAGAATTATTATAAAATCCTGACTTGATTTAATCATAATAACAAAATCTTAACTAAAATTAAAATTATTAATACAAATCTTTTTTTAATTAAAATATTTAAAACAAATTTTATATTTTTATTATGAATTTAAGATATTGTGATTGTGATTAAGTAATGTCAAAGCTGCATGATAATTTTCACAAAATCAAATTCATGAAGTGTCGTGATTTATATACTCTAAATCCATTCTAAAATATTTGTTATGTATTGATCTTCATGAAATTTTTTTAAAAAAAAATTTGATTTTAATGTATTTAATTTTAAAATTTTTATAAAATTAAAATTTCATAATTTTTAATATCAAAAAGTAAAAAAATCATAAAATATAATTTTAAAATATAAAAAATTAAAAGTTTTAAATATTTTAAAAAATAAGACATAATTTGGGACATTTTAAAAAAATAAACAAAAAAGGGGACAGAAAGAATAATTAAAATTAATATTTCAAAATTCTAAATATTATGTTTAAAAAAAAAAAACTTTGTTGACAAATAAATATTACTAGCAAACAATACTCGTAAACAAACAAAACAATAAAAACAACTAATAGTCCATTAGTGGCATACAACATGTGGCATTTAGTATCACTTTAAGATGTTCCATCAATTTTATTTTTCTTAAAATATGAAAAAATTCGTGTTATAATTTAAATTTGAATCTTCAACTTTTTTTCAATTAAAATTTAAATCAGTTTTTTTTTAATTTCTATCTTTTTATTTGCTTTATATCTTTTAAATAATAGTTATGTGAAAACCTCTTTAACTTGAAATTTTAAATTTGAAAGCCATAAGGTTACTTTTTTTTTTATTTATATACTGCTTTAAATATTATTTTTTTTCTTTTTTTTCCTTTTTGGATTCTCAAAGTACAAGCATTATATTTGGACAGCCAAACAAGTCATGCTGTGCAAAAGGAAGACAAATGTAAACAAACTCGCTAAGCAGGTTTACTCGCCATGTAAATCACCACGTGTTACAAATGAACATCGTTTTACGCGCCTAGGAAGTGAAAGCACTCGCCTGCATTGGTCAACATGCATTAATAAAACGGGCACCTAATTTTGACTAAATTGGTCCTTTTATTTAACTGTACAAAATTATTTTTTTCTATTTTAATTGTAAATAATTTTAATATTTGTTCACCTTGAATAATAGGATTAATTATATTATTTTACTTTCAATTTTGTTAATTTTGATTAAAATTAACATAATTGATATACACCGTGAAATAAATCCGTTAATAAAAATAATAAAAATTTGTTACTTCATAATCAAAAGATTATTAAAATTAAAATATAATAACAAATTTCAACATTAAACCATAAAATAATAGCTAATTTAATACTTACATGATTTTTTATTGTAATAAAATAATTACATAATTATAAAAAATTTTTAAGTAAAATGCTTCCTAAAATTTTATATAACTTGAATAATTTATATAGCACGCGACGGGACATTTGTTGTATATGAAGACAAATTTTAAACACAAAATTTATAAATTCAAAACACAAATTACAACTTGGATTATTTATTTAATGTAGCATATATATTAGTGTATGGTATCTTAATCTTCTAGAGACAATAATCTTTTATCTTGTGACAATTCAAAAAAAGTTTCATATTTGGAGTCCAATTCTCTTAGTCAAATAAAAGAAAATGACGGAAGGTATTTTCTTGCAAAGTTCATTTGTTACTTTCATGGGGTTTTATTATTATTATTATTATTATTATTATTTAATGGGTCAAACAGGTTGGAGAGAGACCCCAAAAAAAGGAAGGCTTGGTTTTTCATGTGAATTTATTTTATGAGATGTTCCCATTTTTTTTTATTTATAATACTAAGAAGCAGCTTTGCTCATTTAATTTGCATTTTTAAATATTTTTTCCCTGGGTTTTGTTTTCTATAAAATAATAAGAATCCCAAAACCCAATTTCCACATGTTAATAATTTATTTTTATTTTTTGGAGATAGTAATTAGACAAAAATTATAAAACCATGCATGCTCAATCTAAATTATGCATATAATATTCAAATCAAGCACATATTATATACTAGAATTATTTTTAATAATTTATAATAACTCAATATATTTATTTTACAATCTTCTTAATAAAAATGTTATTAATTTCTATATATAGATTTTTTTTCTTAAAAAAACTAAAAAAAAAAAGGTCAGTTTGTGGCTGCTGGTAACTGGTAAGCGCCAATTACAGCATGCAAAATTTGATCATATTATGTCATCTTTTTTCTTTTCAAAGAATTTGATGGTCAAATTAAATTAAAAAAGTTGAAGAATTCTTAATTTATCTTCTTCCTTTAGATTTGTCTACATTCATAAATGATGCAATGGAGTTATAGCTTATTGACCAAAGACTTCTTTCCTTGCATTGAACTTGAAAGTAATCAGTAGTAATCGCAAAACCATAGAAGATAGAAAATTTTTTTATATAGAAAAAATTAGAATCATGATAATATTTTATTATAAATATTAAAATTTAAAATTATTAAATATTATTTTTTAAAAAATAATTATATGCATTAATTAAATTAAAATTTAAATTCATGATAATTAAAAGTTTTTTAAAAATAAACTTTTTTTTTATGATATGACGTGAAACTTGGGAGAAATAATGATGAGGATCGCTTCATAATTTTCAGCAAAAGTTTGGTGCTTTTTTTTTGTTTTTTTGGTTTTGAAGTTCCAAACTGACGACCACAAATTAGAAATTATTAAACATTATATCCCAGCATTTAATTCAGTAATTTATGCATAATATTTTATTTCAAAAAATAAAATTCGAATATTTCCTTTTTCAAAATAAATAAATAAATAATATATATATTAAGATTCTGCTAGCAATTCAATTCTTTTTTTTTTTTACAATTGAAATATTCAATATTTCAATTTTTGACCAGATAGCAAAAATTTTGCTATTTCATGTTGCTTAATTAGCACATATATTTTGAAAGAATCAAGCATTTTCAAACCTTCGTCAAGGGAAGGTATACGTCAATTTATTTTGCCATCTTATGATTTGTTCCAGCTGCATTTTTCAGCCAAAAAATGTACATGGATGGTGAAATTCAGGGTTTCTTTTTGAGAAAAACGAAGTCTTAACTTATTTGAGGAATCTGAATAAAGAACAGCTCAAAAGATGAAAAAAAAAAAAAACCCAAAAATGAATATAAAAATAAGCACATCTCAGATCCTGCTCACTGAATGAGGTTATCACTTTTTGCCAGTTCTTTCATAAGAAATGGAAAAAGAAAAGAAAATTTTGGGAGCTGAAACCCATTTGGTTATGATGAATCAGGTTGACAAAAAACATAACGAAGGAAGGGCAGCCAACAGCAGGATTAAACAAACAATTGATTATGGGGCCATAAACCTGTCAAGTGTAATCATAGCTGTTTCCCAAAGGATAAAAAATTGTTTGATTTTTAGGTAATAGATTCCTAAAATACATTTGTTTTTGTGGAAAAGCAATAAATTATAGTAAAACAAGCTTACATTATATGTGCATCCTGTTGCATACTTTAGCATCAAATCTTGATTGCAATCGAGTATAATAATCTTGTGTCATAAACAAAGATAACAGGATTGATATAATTGGTTAAAATTTAAAATTTAGATGTAAAATATTTAAATTTGAGTCTTTTGATTTGTAAATTTAAAAAATTTAAAAAGATTTGTAAATTTTAAATTTTCACAGGCCAGTCCAATTGGTGAAAAAAAAGTACTCTTTCCTTATAAACAGTTAATAAACTAGCACTAGAACTTTGTTTTTACAGGCTTTAACCATTCTCTATAATGGAAAGAAACGGGTGGAGAAAAAAAGAAGTGGAAAGTGTATCAGGAAAAGAGATGCTGCCGCTGCATGCTGTTACTAAATATATGTATGTTTAGAAGCTTTTTAGGCTGCTTTTGTCACTTGCACATATAAGCTTTTGGGACGGGGAAAGCTTTAAAATTCCAATTTGATAGCTTAAAGTTCCCAACATTCTGTGGGGCTGCTAACTATTTGTATACAATTTCCAAAGAATTATTATCAACTAAAAGTCTAAAACTAAACAAAGCATACTATCCTTCCTTCATGTGGTCATGCTCAGGTTGTCCCTTTTGTGCCATTGCTGGATATTGCCTTGCTATTTCCAGTTTGAACAGTAGGGAAAAAATTTTAAAGGTTAGGCTTTTTGGTAGGAAAATTGGTCACACACCTTTTGTGTCTATTCCATAGGAGACCTTTGAATCATACATCGATTTTATATTAGAATTTGGCCGAGTATATAAATATTCATTTCATCTTCAACTTGTGAAATATTTTTTTATCAAACAAAACTGTAAAGTTCAGTGAATCAAAAGCGACAATACCTTAAGGAGGAAGGTCAATGTGATCTGTGGCACTCTGGAAATCCCCAATAAAAATATCTATGCAACTGCCTTCAAGCCTGATTTCAAATTATCTACTGAAATATGAGCATGGGGTGTTGGAAAACAGGAAATTATAAAAACTGTTTTAGCCTCAATTTTTTCTCTTCGGAAAAAGATTATGTGTTATAATATATAGATTCGAAAATTTATAACTAGATTTAATAAAAAAAATCATCATCAGATTTTTTTTAGATGTGATTAGTCACTTAATAAATTTATTATTTTAAAGAGCTCGTAAATTTGACTAAAAATTTTTTTAAAAAAAGTTTTGATCTATTAATCAGAACAAGATTCAAAAGTTCAGTTTTATATGAGAAAAGTTATAACACCCCACATATCCATCCAAATGATGGTATCATTTTATTTTAGATTATCTTAAGGTCTTGATTTTAATGTTGAATATTAGAAATAACTTTTAAAATTTTTCATTAATCTAGTATAATTTTTAAAATTATTTTCTCATTTCAAGAGTTTTTAAGAATTTCATTTGTTTTTTTTTTAAGAGGCTTCGTCATAGGAAAAAAGTTTAATCATTTTTTTATTTTAGTTTTTTTATAGAAAATATATCTATTTATTTTACTATTTGGACCAAATTAGAAATATCTTCTCACTTAAAAATTTCTTAAATAATCATCAATTTGTAATTATTAAGAATTTCATCCTCGAAATTTATTTTTTATTTTAAAAGTTTAATTTTTAAAATTTTCACCATTTAGACCAATTTAGAAAAAATTTTTATTTCTAAATTTTTCACCATTTAGCTCTATTTAGAATTTTTTTTTGTTTTTATCTTTGAAAAGAAAATAATTTGACAATTATTTTTTGAAGTTTCATTTAAATTCTTCCACTATTTGAAACAAATTTAAATAAATTTCTTACATAGAGATTTCTTAGATAATTATCTATTTGAAATTTTTAAAAATCTCATCATTGAATAATTTTCAAATATTTTTCAACCAAAATTTTTTATTTGAAAAAAATAAAATTACTTTTATTGAAATTTTATCTAAATTATTCCACCATTTAGGATAAATTTAGAGAAAATTTTCACTTAAAAATTTCTTAAGAAATTTGTCATTTGAAATTTCAAATAATCTCATCATTGGATAACTAGTATTTAATTCTAAAATTTTTGTTAAATTTATTTTTTATTTTTTTTTACATTTGAAAATAAATATTAATTATTATTATTGAAATTTTATTTAAATTATTCTATTATTTGGGGTAAATTTAAAAAAATTTCTCACTTAGGAATTTTATAAAAATTTACTATTTGAAATTTTTAAAAATTTCATCATTAGATTATTATTATTTATTCTCAAAAAATTTTTATTTTGTTAAAAAAACTTTCTAATTTTTTCTAAAATTTAATTATGCAAAAATACTTTATAAATAAATAAATAAATAAAATAACAAAAAATAAGAACAACTCAGTTTAGCGGCTAGCAAGTTCAGTTCAACTGTAAGAGGAAACAGCTGGGAAAACTTGGCTTTATGGCTTGGTTCGACTCAAGCCAAGGATAGGGACGCGGGTCAAAGAAGTGAGTCAGTGTTCGGGTCGATCATTGACTGAAAACGCGCAAATCCTAAAGCCGTTTAACCTAAAAAATAACATCATTTGACCAGGCATATAAAAGGCTAAATTTCCTCTCTTTCCTTCAGATTCTCTTCTTCTTCTCTCTTTCCTCTTATCTTTTCTTTCCCCATCTCTTTAGAACCTAAAAACACTGGTTGAATCTTTACCATATTCTGAAAATTCACGTCAAAATTTAGATTGAATTGTTAGAAGTTCACCGGTTTCTAAAAACTGAATTCAAAAATTAAAAATCTTATCGAAAGCTGGGATTGTTGCAGGAAGGTCATCGAAATCTTCAAAGACTGTCGAAAAATGCAATTGAAAACTAGGATTTTCAAAAAAAATTTCAAAAAAATTTTTCTTTTTAAACCAAAAAATCTCCAAAAATTTTCATACTCTTAAGCTGCCTTTATGTATTTCTTTTGCTTTGATAATCTGTATATCTGGTTGAGTTTTTTTAGGCTTGATGCGAGTTTGTATTTATAAAGTTTTAATTTAGAAGACCCTAAACCAGAAAGGTTTTAATTTCTTTTAAATTTTAACTCTAAATTTTAAGTTCAATTCAAACTTTTCGATCCAAATCAGACTTTTCAATCCAAACTAACAAGTTTTACACACTCAATCACAGATTTTTTTCCTTTTTCGTTTTTTTTATTTTTTATTTTTATTAATAAAAATAAAATCAATTAAAACCTCAAATAAATTGAGGTGTCTACACCAAGGCGGTAACTTCTACACCAAGGAGGTAACTAGTTTTCTCAGACCCCTTGATTGGTGTGGCAGTGGCAGGTGGAGTTTGGGCTAGCCTATACCTTCAAAAACTGATCAGGCGTTGCTCCATGTAATATGTTCATAGGCGAGGACGAGGTTGTTTAGTATGCATCAGTTACGCAAATGCCGTTAGATGAGAATGAGAAAAACGTGTAAGAGATGGTATCTCCAAAGACCTTTGGGCTCAAAACAAACCTGTCATCTGTGTCTGAACCTGCCTTGCTCACAACGATTTTGAAAGGGCTTTAAGTAAGGGCCCTTTTTGAAGGCACTTGCAAAAGAGTTGGAAGCTTAATCCAAAACTTTCTAATCTCCAGGGGAGTTTAAAGATTAGTTCCTTTCCTACCTTTTCTATCAGAGGTAGCATCAGCTATAAAAAAATGATGGCAATATGTACGAGCAAAACCGGACCTTTGAAAAAGTTTGTCTCATCCTGATTTCAATTTTACCTCACCGTTGCAAATCTGTCTGTTTTCAATCTCATTATAACAAATCTCATCCTATGCCAAACATGACCTAACTTCTACGGAGGCTTAGATCCGGTTCAAGCTTGTAAAACATCGGAATTCAGAACCTAGCTGATGCAGTGATGCTTGGCAAAATCCCTGTTCATAACCTCTTCATATTTTGTCCCTCTCTCTTTCATGGCAGATCAAACTAACCTTATAGCCATACTTGCAGTTGTTCTCACTTCGTCCCTGCCCCGTTTAAGAGAAACAAATTAAAAACTTGGTACATCCGGCCAAACTTCTTAGTCATTTTCATCTCTTGCAAAATCATTTCAAGATCTCTCTTGTAACATTTGAAAATGCAATTAGGCAGTGAGAGCCGTGGCTTCTTGTACAAAATAGCATAGAAACCAAACATGATAAAGGATGTGCAAACTACAAGTAATCATTGATTGAGAAGAAATTTACAAATTTCTGAAAGATACATAAACATCCAACAGAATTGCAAGCTTATAAACAGAGTTACGCTAAGAACCAAGAATTATCAGTGGACCTAAATACATTAATGGTTTACCTAATCAAATATGAGATAGCATCACATTAACCCTTTTGCAAGTCTCTGATGGCCTTCATTGACACCTCCAGAATTCAGATGCTGTACAAAAGGTCATAAAATCCCATAACAAGATGCTGCTTAGGACAATAGAGATTGGTACAAAAAGTACCTGAGAAACTGAGGGCCTTGTCTATTATCTTTTTCCTACGCTGACCAACTAGAAGCAGGGATACCTTGCTTTTGAAACCATTCGGGCATGCGGAACCTGTCATAAAGAATAGGTCTCACATCTTTCTGCTGAGAAAGGTGCTTGAGAAGTGGAAGAAGGACATCCAGAAGCTTTTCAACATAAAACCAGAAGAGGAAGTGGTAAGTAAATGGACATGCTATATGAATAGATCTTGAATGAGGATAACAAGATTTAGATAAAGCAAATCCTGGTACCTGTGTATCATGTGGCTGCCCTGCAGAAAATGGAATGCATGGGATCCCATTTAGTGGTTGCAACAGGAAACTGAAAGGGTTATTGTCTACAAGAACAGTACGGCATAAATCCTTAGATAGGCAGGAGAGGTCTTTCACATGCTCCCGAAATTCCCTGTTTATGCCAGAAGAAAAATTTTACAAATCAAACAACAAAATCTTCAGCAGAACTAAAAAAATAATTCCCAAGAAGTTGATTGCTTAAACATCCAACAGAAAGGAAGCACAAATTTGCCCTAAACCATCTACGCCTAGCACAAAGCATGGTGGGAGTTTTAGGACACCTAAACTAAACCCTTTATATTTTAGATGGGAAATGAAATGACTTAGTAATGTTTTCCAACACTTAAATACAAAAATCTCACCAAAATTATCAAACAAAATTGAAAAGATCAATTCATTAACATAGGCACCATGCACCTTATCACTGCTTAAAACGAACTGATGAAACCCTACATAAAACTCAAGAAAAATCTCTCTATTTTTTGGAGATTCAAATTGCCTATTAATTTCATGTCATCTTACATCAAGATAAACTGGAAGAAAAGCATTTTACATATGCTGATTTGGGCCTTATGCATGGTTTTCCTGGGGAGAGGAATCCTCTATGAGTATCATGATCAAGGCCCATTTAGTAGAGGATAAGACTAGGCAGATAGATAATAGACAATGAAATGTAAAGAACCAGTATCAGTATAATTTCACAGACTACAAATGAGAGAGAGAGAGAGTTGGCCAGAAGATCATAGAAGGAGCGTTCAGAGGAAGCAGTACTTACGTACTAATTGTAGAAGGCCTATAAAGTCGAAGACTAAATCGATTTTCTGCATCAATTCTATCAACAAGTGGTCTAGCATAGCCTGTGGTCAGCCATAAAATTCATGAGAAAATGCATGAAGAAATAAAACAATGCAGTGAACCTTGTTTAATAATGAGCAAACCTTCAAGGCCTGCGGTGAACAGCACAAGCTCAGCAAATTCACTTAGTTGATTCAAAAATTCTCGCAACCCTGGGCGCTCAAACACAGTAACGTAATTGATCTTAGCTTTTCCTTCACATTCCTTCAAGGATCAAATAACCCAAATGACCAAGTGCCTCTCTCATACAAATACCGCCATTTAAAACAGACAATCAATTATTCATTACAAACCTTGTCTGAAGATACGCATTCCAGCTCAAACCACTTCAATCCAGCATCTGTTGCTTGATTTCGAAGGGCAGGTGGAAGACTAGATGTCTCATATGCGCACACTAGAGTTTCATCCAAGTCAAGAACTACCTGCAGGAGCATGAATCAGACCAAGAAAATCGGCAAACAATGATACACCAAACAAATAAGCAAAATACTTATTACCCGCAGTGTTTTTCATGTTAAACTTTCACCTGGTTTCAACACCTTAACTTAAAGTAATCACAATCGTCATCTTTATCCCCTCAAGGGTTTATGCTTCTTTATTTTTATAAAAAAAAAAGGCAATCTTTTTTTTTTTTTTGAAGTAGTAAAATTAATAAAATTGCTTCGATTACCTAAGAAAAGTCATTTTTATTGCTTAATTTTTTAAAAAAAAATGGAAATTTGAAAACTTTCATACCGTGAGTTTTTCGATGCGGTCTTTAACGGCGAGAACAGGCGAGTCGAAAACGGCAGCGATCTCGACCGTAGCGGGAGACTCTATCTCGGTCGAGTCAACGACAGGCAAAGGCTTAAAACAGTGCGCCGGGGTCGAAGTCGTTGATGAAGAAGAAGAAGAAGAAGCAGAGGAAGAAAGCAAAGGGTATTGACCAACGGCTCTGATGATGGGAGCAAAGATCTGAAAGAAAAAAGCCAGCAAGTTCAAAAGCGCTCTCCATACTTGCATGGACCAAGGTGAGTACACCTCGGCCTGAGTCAACTCAGCCATCGAACCTCGAACGATTTGCTTAAGGATTGCAAACGTGCGCACGGGTTTACCGGAACCGGAACTGTTCGTTAAATACGGTTAGCACTTAACAGATAAAATCTTTCTTCTTCCTCTTTGGTTAAGAGTCTTTTTCTCTCTCTTCGTTAAGCAGTTTTTATCACAGACAGAGAGAAAAAGTGAGGCTGACCCACGCGCTCAATTGCACAAGTGAACGTTCTTTTCCCTTTTTATTTTTTATTTTATTTTTTAACTTTCTTGTCTAATTTTGGAGTGTACGTACTAGCGCGTAAACGTATGTTGTGCAAACAAGTTCAATGATAGGAATATTCATTTTTAATGGTTTTTTTTTTAATTTTTAATGACAATATATAGGTCATAGGCCTTGAAATTAGTCCAATTGAATCATTTTAAGTCAAATAAAATTTGAATAATTTTAATTTTAAATTATTTAAATTTGACATTCAAACTATTTAAGTTTATATCAATTTAATTTTAAATTATTAAATTTTAAAATCAAATCATTATAAATTTGAATTTCAGTTAATCGATTTTAAACTTAAATTATAGTTAAATTTTTTTCGTATGAATCATTTATTGTTTGATATCAAATTTACTTGGATGATTATTGATAGAAGATTTAACTTGACTTTAATTTGATCATATATCCAATCCTCTTGATTGCTAATTATTTAACTTCAATTTTACCTTCAAAATTTTTTATGATAATAAAAATTCCACTTTTTTATTTTTACTTACAATTTAATAAAAAAAGTAATAAAAACAATTCAGCTTGTTTGTTTAAAAATTTAACAGCATAATGTTCTTGTTTAACAACACCAACTACCGAATATTAAATGAAACTTTTGAATCAAATGCATTAAATTGAAATAAATTACAATTCTCCTATTTATCCAATAAATTACCTTATCATTTAATTCGAACATGCCAAGAGTAGCTATCAAAGGTTTAATTTCTTAGATAATTTTTTTATCAAGAGAATTAAATGCTTTTTGTTGGTGCATTTATTCAAGAAAATGAAAACTTTAGAAAACAATAAAGCTCAAGGTAAAAAAAAAACTGTATTTTTTTTATAAGACAATCAAAGATATCTCAAATTTTGTTGAGTTTAATTTTTTATATTTTATTTGAGTTTAATTTTGAATATTTTTTAAAATATATTTTCACAAATTAATATTTATATTCAAAGTTTTAATTTCGAGATATTTTAAAAAAAGAACTCCTATTGATAAAAAATAATTTATTTCAATTATCTAACTATTGTGATTATTTGGCAAAAGAAAAACTATTGTAATTAATGAAAATTTGCTTGACAGTTATGAAATTTTATTTTTTTGCATATTATTTAAATTTATTGTTTCTTTGTCGATCGATCGAGTTAAAAAAATAAAAAATGATAAATATTTTATTTTATTATTTTTATTTTTTATATTGAATAAGAAAATTTAGAGATAATTAAGATTTTTTATTCTAAAAAATTTCTGCAAAAATCCAATAATTAATTAAATTGTATCATAAAATTTTCTTGCAAATATTCTTTTTTGGATATTCCATTTGATCTAAAAATAAAATGGACAATTTCATTTTGTACATAATATGGGAGTGGGATGCACGCGCTATAAGAGAAAGTGGTGGTGTTAAAGATTAGAAGACCAAATACAACGTGAAAACGAGGGCAATTTCATTGCATCGAATCAGCCAATCAGAAGAGACAACCTTCGGTTCTGTGTCTGCTAATTTTTATGGTCAGAGAGGAATCTACTGTGCTAAAGCCTATTCAGATAACCTGAACTATTATCCACGTCAGCTTTTTTCTTTTTAAAATATTTGAAATTATAAGGTAACCATTTTCATTTACATTTTTATAAAAATCTCATTTATCTCTCCAAATATTAAATTTAAGATTTTACAATTTAAAATTTTATATTCTAACCATTGATAATCTTTTCAAAAAATAATCTAGTAATATATAAATTATTGATAAATTGTAATTTACCAAAAAAGTTATATAAATTATAATAAATAAGTGTGAAAATCTAAAATTTTATCCCATCGATTTTAACAAGATTAATATAAGTGTTTCATTAATATTGCAAAAATTACAATTATTATTATTTATTAGAGAAATTTTCATTAGTAGTCTCAAGTGATATTGGTTATGATGATATTTATTTTTTTAAAAAAATTATAATTAATGCTTTTTTAAATAACAAAAATAATGTATTAAATATATAAATAACATTTTAATTATTTTTAATATGTGTTTACAAACACTCATTAATAGGACTTTTTATAAAAAAAAAAGGTTATAATTTAAAGATAAAAAATTATAAGTATTAAAATTTAAACGTAAGATTTATTGAATTTTGTATTTTAAAAATGATTAGAAATTAATTTTTAAATTTTATTAATTGGACTTTTTGTATTAAAATCAATTTGATTTCATCTAGAATGACAAGACAAATTTCCTATGTTGCTTTATTTATTATGTAAGCAGACATTAAGAATTTAGTATCACACAAAGAAAAATGGAAGATGCTGGCAAATTAAATGATAGATTATGACAATTTTGTCAGCATCTTTTTTTTGGACATGAGGTTGATTTTTTTTGAAAATCTTGTTGCAATGCTTTGTTCTTTATAATACTATTACAATTAAAATTATTGTTTTTTTTTTTCTTGTTCAAAATTCATGAACTTTATGTCCTAATTGACAAGTTTTTCTTGTTAGAAGGTGTTAATCCAACTTGTCTACTTTGGTTTTGTTGGTCAAATTTCAACCATGAATTTGGATGTTTGAACCTTTTCCAAATTTAATATTGATTGACAGCTATTAATGTTGTCACTAACCAAGCAAATGTAGTTCTTAGATGCTTTGCTTAACCTAAAGACAAATGAATAGGGAACTTTGAACTTTCCTTGTTTTTCAGTTTTCCCCAATTAAAGATGCATTGTCCAGGACACAACTTGGTTTTGGGCTGACAAAACGAACATGTTCGAACCTTTTTGTCCACAAAGGCATGAGGACTGGAGGACAGTTAGTTTTCACATGTGGCCCATCTAGTGACCCGACAAATCCGTTTTCAAATGTCCGGTCCGGTCCGAATCCAAATTGAGATAAAAAAATTAACTATTCGAACACAAAAAAATTCAAATTCAAAATAACTCAAAAAAAAAAAAACTTAAATGTTACGTCTTTCACAAAATCTATGAAACAACTTGATTAATTCGGTTTAAACCGGAAAAAATCTGAACTTGAAACACTCAAAATCACTCGTATGCCACCTTTATTATTCACAACTGTTTGTTTGCTCCAAGAATGTGACAATCACAACTTCACAAAGTTATTTCTAAAGCTTTTAAGATGTTTACTGTGGATATTGAAACGAAATGCACCTTGGAACAGTTACTACGAGGCACCATTTTGGCTAGCTTAAACAACTCTTCATGAAAACTAAAGCTAACAGTCGATGAAAAGGATGCTATTGTCACTTAATGAAAAAGGAAGCGATGCATCTCTGCTATTTGCAGGCAAGTTAAACCATAATATCGCAAAGCTCTATGCGCAAGTTTTTATTACGTTAACAAATGAAAAGGAAAAGTAAGAAGATTATGAAGCATAACATGAGATAGTCAATGGCATAAAGAATTCCAATCAATGAACTAAACGATTCTGTTGTAACTTTCTTGTCACTGGAAACAAAGGGCTTGTGTTTTACAGCCCCAACAAAGTACAGGGGGAACTGGGGAAAGAGTTTTGTACAGGAAAAAATGTGAATCAATATGAAGTGTGATAAGTGCTGTTGCTATACATGGATGTTCTAATGCATTCAGCTCATAAGATATTGCTCGAGCAATCGAAGGAGTTTTGGTTTAGTATGAGTAAGACAGCCATGGATGTTCTAGTGCCTCCCTAGCAGTCGGACGCCTTTGAGGATTCATCTGAAGCAAATGTCTAACAAAATCGATAAACCCCACATCGGAAACTTGAAGATGATGTTCAAGTGAAGACTCCTCAGAGATAATGTATTCTAATTGGTTTGTCTCCTGGATAGAAAAAAAACAGCATGAGTTCATTATAAAGTTGGATACACTAACCTGTAAATTTCACAATTCATTAAAAAATGACTGCCCTCAAATGTAGAATTGGTGTTCTTCTAGGGCTATAAATATAACAGATAGATGATAATAGTGGCGGAAATGTGGCTCCAGATTCCAGCAAATTGTGGAAAATGTTGGAAGTTTTGACAATTTCTATCATTAAAGGGAGCCTGTAAACAAACCTCGTTTATATGGTACAGATCATATTCTTTTGTGAAATACTTGTGTGTCTCTTGCCCATTCTCCAACATCTCCAGATCAATAGGGCCTAGCGTTCCAACCATCTGAGCAAGGATCGTTACATTTGCATCATTTGGAAACAGCACCTGTAAAAGGACATAGGTACTTAAAATGAGTCACTCATGAAGTTGCTTCCAAGGAACAACTACTTAAAATTTGTAGCAAACATCAGAATTAAAGATTACAAAATGAATAAAAAAGCATTAATTTGGTTGACTTTAGATCAAGACATTGCCAAACTATGATAAACTATGACATACTTTCCCAGAACATAGCTCGGCAAGGATACATCCAAGAGACCACAGGTCAATCTTCTGGTCATATGGGAGGCCTAGGATGACTTCTGGAGCTCTATAGGAACGAGATTGAACATATAGGCATATATTGTCGGTCCGAAAGCAACTGCTTCCAAGATCAATAATCTTTATCTCACATCTTCTATGACTTTTGATTAGAATATTCTCAGGCTTTAGATCACAATGAATAATTCCCAAATCATGTAAGTAATCAAGTGCCTCCAAGCACTGACAAGTTATGACCTGTGTGAGAGAATATCAACAACCAATTATTTTGTGGCATGCTGGATATATAATTTGAACTAAACTACGAATTTATCACTTATATACAATCCCAGATAAGAGTTATAGCTCAGAAATATATAACTAACAGCAACAAAGAGAACAATGAACTAAAAGAAGATATCGGCCAAGCCGATAGCCATTTGAACAAACCTGCAACCTACTGAGTGTAAAATAAGCTTCATCACCAGATTCTTGATTGAATTTCTGAAATTCATACAAGTTTGCTTGAAGGAGTTCACATACGATGAACAGATGCTCCTGGAAAGATTTTGCATAAACCATAAAGAAATCATTAGTATTCAATATATACAAAATGGGACTTAACAAAATCAATACTAATGAAATGGTTTTTCTAGAAACTCAGATTAGTGAGATGGGTGGAAATAGCCATTTTACTAAGCAATTGACTGTTTGAAGCACAATCCACATTTTTCTGCAAAGGGATGGAGAGAATTGCTACTAATTTACTCTTTAAACATACCTGCTGATAAAAGTAGTCATAGAGACGCAGAATATGGTGCTCATCTCCAGGGTCATGCTTGTTAACAAGCTTTAGAAGTTTAATTTCATCCAAACTCTGGTCAAAAAAATCTTTATCATTTTTAATGATCTTCAGGCAAACATCTATTCCCATAAGAAGATCATGAGCTTTAACAACTTTACTAGAAGCAGCTGAACCCAAGTATTCTGTTACATAATATCTTCCAGCAATGATGGTATTTAGCACAATAGGCAGGTCCTTGCTTTCTTCAAATCCAGTCCTGTAGATGGCATAATATATCTGTTATACTGTTTTCTGCACATTAACCTGCAGTGCAACATCTTCAACATCTTCAAGTTTAGGGGCAGCCTGAGCTAGATAATATGACAAAATGTTCTAGCAGGCAAGTCTGTCCCGTCCATGAAGAATGAGATGGAAGACCAAATTTAGAAAATAGTATTGCTTGATTTGCACTTTATATATGTGAACTCCAGTCATATGGGCTTCATATATTAGCATTTTGAAAGAGAAAATTCAAATATATAGTTATTTGGAGATTTATCAGTTTGTGATCATTGAGAACTTGAATAGACTTAAAGTTTCCCCTGCATCTTATCAATTTTAAACAGGCTTGTTTACCAATTTGCTTAACTCTTAATATATAAAGTCTCTATTTGCTTACTTAGCATTGACAATATGAGAAATAGTATAGCAGCTGACCTGTTTTTCCTATGAATGATTCGCAAATGGAATACTTCATATTCATCCTCATTAGAGTACATCCGAACTTCATCCATAGCATCACCCTCTTCATCTGCAGCAACCTGAGATTCATTAAGTTCTCCATTGTCTTCTTCATCTTCAACTCCATAATTGAGTAACAAATCTTTCTCGGCAATCTTGTGCACCAAGTCAGAATCACCTTTAAACCCGTCAATCCAATCGTTTGAACCCCTTTTGGCAGAGTAAAGATTCTGGTTAGATTCATGTTCAGAAGCTCTATTATAATCTGCGCTAATGTCTCCAGCAGCCTTTAACTGAAGATCATCCGAATCAGTTTCTTTGGAGCTCATGTAGCTCAACTTCACAGAATTTTCATCATAAAGACCTGGTCCCTCACAACTTTTGTAAAGTGGGAGTGAAAAACCATAAGCACAGTTCTTCAACTCCGGTTCAATGTCCCCTTCAAGCCCATTACATTTATCAAAATGATAATAATCCATCACTTGAATATCATTTTCCCCATTTATGCTGACCATATTAAAACGGCATGGCTTGTCCAAGTAATCAATTCCTTCTTCTGTTTGAAATCCTTTTGATTTGTTATGTTGCTTATTGGTCTCCGAAGTTGTGACAAACTTGTCCAAGTACAAGTCATTCTGAATGTTGAAATCAGGATACTCGCGTGCTGTTCCAAATTGGGACAATCTGTCTGATGAACTATCAGAATCAGCCTGAGATGCAGAATTAAGTCCATATGGATTCACAAAGTCTACAAAATGAAAAACAGTTGGACTGCTCTTATGCACTATTAACTAACACATTCACCCCCAGCAGCCAGCTAAATATCGAAAATAGGGCCAAACAAGAAATAATGATTTCAGAGTGTTTCAAAATACCTTAGAGAAAATTGGAACATGTAATGTTTTCCATTTTTGGTATTTTTAACGGTACAAACTCATCTATCAGTACTTGGCAGTGACTTAGAAATGTCAGTGATGAAATGCGGAAGTAGCAAACAAAATTGATGAAATTTCTTGGAGAACCTCCATAGCATAACTAAATGGCAACGAAAGGTTCATGCCTCAAACAGAATAAAGTTCACCTCTAATCACTAAAGATGAACAACCCACGCATCCAAGCGTTTGACTCAATGGATGATGCATGATCTCCCTTGCTCAAATCCTCTTCCCCAAATAAAAAAAATGAATAACCCATCTGGTTTCAAGACATTTACACAATTACAAATTTTGCTCTATGAATTATGAGAATTCACAAGAAATTTAATTAACTTTTTTTATCTTATGAGAATATTAAGATTGAATTATCAGTTATTAAAAACATGAAATGAGATGAACAGGTAAATAATCCAATTCAAATTCAAACCCACTCCAGAAAAGAAAAAAAAAGGAATAAAAGGGGAAAAGAAAAAGGCATTCATTCAACTTTATTTATTGCAATTTGCCTGTTGCTTACATCACCTAAAACTAAAAGTGACCAGAACAATCACAAAAAGTTCATGATCAAGCAAGAATCTTTCAAACAAACTCAAGCTGATCAAACACCAATTAAGTAAAGCATGTTTAAAGTAAAACCAACAGAATTTTAACTCAAAACAATCACGAAAATAGCAAAACAGAAAAAATTTAAGTAAAGTATGATTAAAACCCTAAAACCAAATACTAATTATTAAAACATCAAACAAAATTAAAAAGAAAGTTTTTCATACTATTACCTGAAGAGCAAACATCACTAATAGAAGACCTCAAGCTGACAAACTCATCACCATCTGAATCCGACCCATCACTGGACTTCACTTTCTCATCCACCTCCGATCGCCGGGATGTCGCCGGAATCCTAACCGGCTGCAGCATGGGGAACAATAACTTCTCAGAATCAAAAGCACCCACTTTTTCTTTTTCTTCTTCTTCATTTTTCTCCATCATATCTTCCTGAAGAGCTTTCTCAGCTTCTTTCAATCCATTTTTCCTCAAAAACTCTATCACAACTTCCACTTCAAAGCTCAACTCCATGAACGGAAAACAACAAAAACAAGAAGAAGAACAACAGTTCTCTGTGTCTCAAGTATTTTTTGACTTTGGGATTTGTAAGTGGGAAAAGTAAGTAAATTTGGAGGGTCAAAAGTGGAAAATAACGCCAGCAAAATACCATCTTTGAGTTTCTGCATGTTCTGTTTTCTTTTTTTCTTTTTGGCTTTCCGTTGTGAAACTTTATCCGACGAGGGGTTTAAGTGGTTTGTGGGTCCCATTTCATGTAGTGACACGTGGAGAAATCAAGATCTAATCGAACCAAACACTTAATTGTCATCTTCTTATGACCACTTTGTGAGGGAAAATGTGTCAATTAACAAAGTACTAACCCTTTTTTATTTTTATTAAATTTTATTAAAAAATTTAAAAACTAATATATATTTATTTAATAATTGAGTTTCATCAATAAATTTTAATTTAACACTTATGGATATTTTAATCTCGTTTATAAAATATAAATGTAAAATCAAATTTAGAGGAAGATTCTAGTTGATTAATAGCTTCAAAGGGCACATTGTGTTATTTATTTTATTGGTGGAACCTACTTTTCATGAAATATGACCCAACTTCATGCCATGATGAAATGATGTTCTTTCTCCATGAATAATGTGACAAGCACAGCCTTTTTGTTTTTGTTTTTTTCACTTTCTAAGCTTCTTTTCCATGTGACCAAAAAAAAAAAGAGCTGTTTTTAGTTCATTTTCCCCACTCTTTACTTACCTTTTATAATTATTGCTACCTTTCACTTTTTCTTTTGTTTTTTTGTAGGATATTATTTGATTTTTAGATTTTGGAATATGACCCAAATAAAGCCGTTGAATCATTATAACTTTTTTTCATTGTAAAGATTAAATGAAAAAAAAAGTTAAACTTCTTCAATGTGTTGAAGAAAACCAAAATTTTAGGGTTTGGTTGAATGGCAATGCAACAATGATAACCAATTTGGTTAGAACTAAATTGTCCCTTGAAGTTTGAATAAAAGTGTTTGAATTTTCAATGACACTAAATTAGACTATTTGGCCAAATTTTGCAATCTTAAAAAAAAGGTGCTAAATTATATAGTACATGACTTGGTCCAATATAGGATCATTGTTCACTCTATGTTAATTAAATTTAATGATTCGTACATTTATATCGTATAAAATATTTAAATTTGTGTATTTATATTATTTAAAAAATATATAAAATATATATTTTTTGTTAAATTCATATAGAGTAATTAGTAAAATTTTAAATCATATCATTATTGTATTCATTTTTTGAATCATATTCATATCATGTCACCATATTATATTTTAAATTATCAAGTCTAATGTCAATGCACACCAATATTAGATAGTTATCAAGTTGGTCAAATTTCTTTTCTAAATCATTTAATGACTAAGATCTATCTAATTTATAATAATGTGACATTAAAAGGATAACTTAAGAAAGAATAGACTATAAAATATAGTTCTAGTTCAACAAAAAATCCAAAAAAAAAAAACTTCTGAAGATACCTTTAACCATATTATCCATATATATAATAGTTATGGTTCAAGCAAATCTGTTCTTTTTAGGTTAGGAATTTTCTCTTTTTTGTATTTGTTGGATTTCATATTAAAATAGGTATGAAACTTTTAGTATATATAATCTAATTATGGTAAAAATTTGAGTTATATAATCAAATTGTGGTAGAAACTTTTATTTTTATATATAAACTCTTTTTATAAATGTTTGTACATAAAAGAAATTAAAAAAAGAAAACAAAATTTGATATGAGTTGTTAGTTTAGTGACACTGAAATCGATTTTAGAATTGAAGATTTCAAGTTGGAAATATAATCGTAACCAAAAGATTAAAAAAAAATTAAACCTTAACCCTTTTAAGAAGAGAAACAACAATTAAGTCAAACTAGGGTTGTTAATTGTTTTTCATATATTTTTTATCAGCAAAAAGGGGATAAAAATAAAACTTCTTTCATTGTATGGAAATTCTTTCATCTCATTAAATTGAAATTTTGATTAGTTTGTTGTTTACTTCTAACGATGGAACAAGGCAAAAGAGGTTAATTTTCATTGCTATAAACCATATTCTTTGTTATCATTGCCATTATTATATACAATTACTAAATGCCAATAACAAAACCACAATGCTAAACATGAACTAGAGCATATTTTTGCAACATTTTTCAAAGATTGAGAAGGCAAATAATGACCAAAATTGAAGGTTTCAAAATCCCATTTCAAAATAAATATTAACAAAACTTTTAGATGTGTTTTAGGTAATGATAATTACTATATGCTTTCCAATAAAAAATTTGATGACTAAACTATCATTATATAATAAATTACAAACATGTTTTTGCATTCAGTTCAAGACAAAGAGTCAACATTATTATTTTTTGATATATACTGTTTTTTATATTTTAAATTACGATCGAATCAGAAATTTTTAGTGTGAAGATCTGTAGCTAACTTGAAAAATATTATTTGTTTTGATTCAAAGGTGTTACAATTTTCTTTTTTACAACAAATGCTTAATAAATTTAGATTTAAGTTTTTATTTATATATCATAACAGATTTTTAGATTCTCTTAATGTAAGATTGGGATATCACAAACTCTTTTGATAAAGCTTGATGTTTTTGTTACACAAAACCATAGAATTAGGATCACACCTAATATTGGGAGCCATGTAACACTTAACTCCTCAAAGATTCTAAAGGTGATTCTCACGCTATAGTATTTAGCTATCGTCGATTAATAACTGCTCTGATATTATATATGGAAACCCACATTAAACCTATAAAATATTATCCGCTTTGATCTAAAAATCTAACGATTTTATACTACAAAAAATACCTTATAAGTTTGAATTTAAGGTATTACTTATATATCATAACAAATTTTCATAATTTTTCGATATGAGATTAGCGTATCACATCAAGTCTTAAAGTCAATTTTTATAATACTGAGTTAATAGTTCATTGATTTTAATAGCTACTTAAGATGTAAATGTAACCAAGCAAACAATAAAACTAAATACAACCTACCTAAGAAAATTAATGTATGCAAGATGAGTTGGGAAAGAAAAAGTTCAAGAAGCAAAGCATGGATGCTTTAATTAGCCAACATGACCCTATCTTTCATATGAAGTTTTTTTTTTCCATTTTCATTATTTTATTTAACTTATACATTGTTTATAATTTAAAATTTAGTTTTTGAATATAATATCACATGAGGATAGTGCAACTTGAATCTTCTTTTTACAAAAAGAAAAAGAGCTTTTAGGTTGATTGTGATTTGGGTCGGTAGGTATGACTAATTCATGGATGAAATGATCCAATTGATCATGGACTTCATAAAAATGAAATAATTTTGGGTTGATTGTCATTTGAGCTACCAACTATTCAAAGGGTGACCAAAAAAAAAAAAGCAATTATTCAAAAAATCAATAATCTTGATCTTCAATGTGGACCCAAACTTGAATAAAATGAAAACATTTTGGGCTGATTCTTGATTTGTAATTTTGGCTGACAACCATCCAAATGCTTCTTGGATGCTATGGCACAACTTTGATCTAGAAACGTTGCCTATTGGCATCCATGGATTAATCATGGACGTGGTTATGGGCTATAGGGTCTAAAGGAGGCCTCCCTTTGGTATCCGAGAAACATGGCAGCCAAAATAAAAAATAAAAAATATATATTAGTATTTTGATGAAGAATTCATTTGAGAGTTCGATTGAAAGTTGTTTAAATATTAAAGATGTGTTTTATGGTTGAATGTTTTAGGATCTTAAGTTAAAATTTAATTGTTAGGATGAGTTAAGCTTTGATAAATGCATTTTTTTGAAGTAATAGTAGTATATATAGTATTATATACCATAATATTTTTGTTTAATAATAGATATACTAGATTTTTTATGAGAAATTTAAACTTTCAATTATAATTGTATAAAGGGAGCAAAGCTAGTTATAGAGGACTCAATTATTTGGTTTTTTTTTTCACTCTTTTCTTTTGATAAGAAAGTTGCAAAAAATTTATTTTGAAGTTGGAAAACTCAATCTAAATGTTGTAAAAAGTTACTATTATTGCATTATTATTATTATTATTATTATTTACAATTGACAATCGTTCGTGGCCATGGATTTCATACCTGCCTTCTTATATTTGTCTCAACCTTAGCTCTTGGAACATAATCTTTAGAACTTGACAATTATGAACCCAAACGTCCTTATCCCATAAGATATTGTCTATGATCTTCTGCACTATCTTGTGAATAAATTATTCACTTCCAAGCCAGAAAATGATGGCCTAGGGTTCATCTACCTAAGATTTCTAGTCCAATTGTTGTGAACCTCCAAATAGTAGTTTTTTTAAATATATATATATATATATATTCATAGATATTTATTATTTGGACAAACTCTTTTCACTTAATATTGCAATTTTCATTGTGAAATCCAATTGCAACATTAAAGTATGCTTTCACGCAAAAAGGTGAAAAAAAAATTGAATCATTGAATGTATTCAATTAGAAAACCAATATATATATACAGGGAACTCAAATTGGATCAAAGACATTGATTCAATTATAAATAGAATTGATTAAAAATTAAAATTTTTTAAAATTTATTTCAATAATTGATCAAAATTAATTCATAATTGATTGATTAATCAAAATAATCTATTTCAATTTGTTCATTCGATTTTAATTAATTTATGAACATTTCTAATGCCAATAATTGTATGCTCTATTGATACAATATTAAACTTCTAACTTTAACAAATAAGATTTAATCTCTAACATTCTCAAATAATTATAAACAATTTGAATCAGAAACATTATTGATTTTATTCTAATTTTAATAGATAGTGGACTTCCTATTTGTAATCATAGTATTACAATATTAGTAAAATGAAAAAAAAAAATTGTCGAAGTCTTTTAAGCAATAAAGGTAATGGAAAGGAGAGAACAAGGTTCCCCCACCAGAACAAAAAAAATTGAACTTCCTATTTAGGGTAAAGATCCAAGGCAAACATCCAAAAGCAAGTAGCCCACTTCTTCTTCTTCTTCTTCCTTGCCCTTCCCCACCACCACCGCCACCACCACCACAACAACCACCATCTTTTCCCATTTTCCCCACCCCTTTTTTTCTTATTATTGTTTTTGTTAATGTTAACCTTTTTTTTTCCCTCTTTCTGCAACTTTATAAT